AGATGCCAAAAGATAGTATTACCCTTTAATAACTAGTGGAATCAAAATTGTCTGTGACGATATAGAGTCACCATTACTCCGTGAATTGTTGTTGTGTGCTGTCAAGTCAATTCCAATTCATGCTGACCTTAAATAACAAGAGTAGAACTGACCCATAGGGTTTCCTAGGCTGTAATCTTTACAGGAGCAGATCGCCAGGTCTTTTCCCCCGTGGAGCTGCTGGGTGGGTTCAAACCACTGACCTTCTGGTTAGCAGCCGAGTGCTTAACCATTATGCCACCAGGGCTCCTTACTTTGTGAATTACATACTTAAAATCCTCTAAAAGATTTCTATTATTCCCAGTCTTTTAGGCTTGATAACTAGCAGTAAGGCTCAAATCTCCAACTGAATCCCTTATATACAAGTCTCAAGTATCAAGCAGGCTCACCTTGTAATTAAGTATACATATATTTATTTCTTTTCGTACCTTATTCTACATTAACATTTAGTGACAATAAATATTCTGAAATATCAAACAAGTTGAAAAGAGTGACGTTTATACACACAGGACAGAAAGTGAGGAAGCTGGCTTTCAACTTTGTCATAGTTTCTTACTGGGAATTCCTGTTTAAAGCAAACATTGTTTTTTTTTAATATGTTAACCTTTTTTATTTTTCACAGCGCTTATACACAGAAGCCTGGGACAAAGACAAGACCCAAATCCACATCATGCCTGATACACCTGAAATTATGTTGGCCAGACAAAATAAAATAAATTATAGTGAGGTAAGACCATTTGTTTTACTTCCTTGATCTGCCCACGCTGATTTTTGCTGATGTAATAATAATGCTCATGTTATGATTTAATCTTCATGTGGACCAATTACCTTAGTTTTGTTTTTTTATGCCCTTTACTCTGCCTTGATTATACATATTACTGTATTCAAAAAATAGGTGGAAAGATAAACCAATAGATAAACACAAAAATATCTCCATGTAAAGTGAGAAAAAACCCTTAAAGTCAACTATTAATGACTGTGATATATTACTATTTTAATTTTAAAAATAGATTATTACTAATCATCATTATAATGATTACTAATTATTTGCCTCAAAATTTGTTCCTTGAGTTCCATACCTATCTCAAAGAATTTATGTGATGATGAAATGGGATAGAATATGCCCAGCATAGAACCTGACACTAAGTAGCTGCTTAATAAACTTTAATTTCTTCCCTTCCCACTCACGCCACACTGAGAATTAGATTTATTTAGCATGCGCCAAATAACTTGAGGTTTATTTTCAAGAATTGAAATGAGAACTCTTAAATTTACCCGTTTCAAAATTTCCCGAGGACAATAATGTTCATTCTTTTATGAACTGTCTCTAGCCTCAGTAAAAGTGTCATTACACATCTTTGCAGCCCAGCAATACCACTGCACAAAAACTTTTTGCCCAGTTGCCCCAGAGTTTATCTGATTTCGTCAAGAATACTTATTTCTTATGTGTTTGTGTACTTTTCATTAAAAAAAAAAAAAAAAAGAAGGAGACTTTTCTACAGTCTGAGAAGTCCGGAAAATTTAAGTACTTGTTTTTAAGACCTGACCATACTTATTATCCTATTCATATTAGTTACATTTGCCTGTAATAACGTAGGCCTAAAGGAGAAGCATGCTTATATCAAATAACCATGACAAGTGAAATGAAGAGGAAATAATTTCCCTTTCTCCAGCATTGTATAACAGACCCAAGGACAAGCCTAATCATAAATATTCTATTGACCTTGGCTTCAGTCATTTTTGAATGAGCAAGTTTTCTCTTGGCCACAGAGCTTCTCTGTTGGATTAGCTTCTCCCAGGAGGTCTGTCTCACCCAGGCATATGAAGTTAGTTTCTGTCCCAGACTGTGATGAAGCATGCGAGCCGCTCCCTTTTATTGAATTACATCAGATGAGGTAGATTTTTTTTTTCCCCTGACTGTGGAGAGGAAATTGAACTTTTTTTTTTTAATTCTAAAAGTTTCAGCCGGATTTACTTTCTTTAAAACTGCCTGATTATGTTAATTCCCTAAGAGCTGGTTTCTGAAGATTAGATTTCAGAACGGTCTATTTGAATCTCTTCTCAGCCCATTACCAGTGGTAACTTCATTCCATACTTTACTCAACAAATATACATTTTTTTAAATTTTTTTTCTCTTAAATTTTCATTTACCTGTTCTAGTTCCCCTGGGTAAACAGCTTACCCGACAAGCTTTAAAAAGTAATCCTGCCAATAACTGAAAGTGTTTCCTTCTTTGAAGCCCTGCATCTTTTTCAAATGTTGGAAAAGTAAATCCATTTGTTTGACCTGAAGCCATGAGATGACTAAAACACAACTTTTTCCACTTATACTGTAAAGACAAATTTGAACATTTATTCTTCAAAGGAAAAATATAAAGTATTTGATGCTACTGTTACAAAAGAAACGTATCTAGAAAAAATTTTTTTTATTATGCTTTAAGTGAAAGTTTACAGTTCAAGTTAGTTTCTCATACAAAAATTTATACACACATTGTTATGTGACCCTAATTGTTCTCCCTATAATGTGACAGCACATTCCTCCTTTCCACCCTGGATTTCCCGTGTCCATTCAACCAGCTCCTGTCCCTTTTTGCCTTCTCATCTCACTTCTGGACAGGAGCTACCCATTTAGTCTCATGTATCTACTTGAGCTAAGAAGCACTCTCTTCACAAATATCACTTTATGTCTTATAAGCCAGTCTAATCTTGGTCTGAAGAGTTGGCTTCGGAAATGGTTTCATTTCTAGAAATTTTTAAGGCGAACAAATATCCTTGGGATTTTATCTCAAAGACATTAAATTTATTCTACTTGTTACTTTAGCTTTTTCTGGTAAAAATCTCAGCTCAGAAAGAATGTAAACTGTCACATTTATTAATCCAGATTATAAAAACCAGAAAACCAAAGCCATTGCTGTTGAGTCGATTCCGACTCATTGCAACCCTATAGCACAGAGTAGAACATAACGGTTTCCAAGGACCGGCTGGTGGATTTGAACTGCTGACCTTTTGGTTATCAGGCAAGCTCTTAACCACTATGCGACCAGGACACTAACTTCCCTTAGGCATTTAAAAATTAAATGCCTCTGCATCATATTAAAATCCAGATACTATTCTAATATTCTTATTTTAGTCTAAATTGTGAATGGGTCATAAAAGTGAAGCAATTCATTTTAATTATTTTTGCCACACTTATTAAGAATTTTTCTTACATTTAAGATTTCTTGACACAGCCTCAACAATGAAAAGTACATTGAACAATATGAACGAGAAATAAAGATAAAGCCATTGTTGTTTTTCCCTTAAAACCATAGTGACTTCTCAATCCCTTTACAGAACTATCTACTAGTACTGTGTCTGCTTTCATCAATTCAGCAAATCTTTTAACAGAGGAAAAGGAAAAATTTGAAATTTAAGATTAAGTTATTCAGTCATAAACTGATTTTAGGGCCTTTTCTCTGTCTTAGGGTATAGAGATGCACTGTCTTTAAACCTCAGGTACCCCTGAGGTTACAAGAAGATTTTTTTCCAAGGAGTATTCTGGCATAGATTGTTTTAAACAAATCAGTTTACTTAGCTTCAACTTCCATATGTACTCTTTTCTAAATTTTCTCCCTGAGAACATCTGTGCAGTTGGAATCATGTTCCCCTTCTTCTTTTATAGTCACTCTTACTTTGCTTCAAAAAAAAAAAAGAAACAGGTTAAAGAAGAAGAAAGAGACTAGACAGCTAAATGCCAGTCATGCTCCTGAATTAGATTCTGGATACAAAAAACAACATTGCTATAAAAGACATTATTGGGACAACTGGGAAAATTTGAATATTCACTGTATATTAGATATTGTTGTTGTTGTTAGGTGCCAGCAAGCTGGTTTCAACTCATAGCTATCCCATGTACAACAGAACGAAACACTGCCCAGTCCTGTGCCATCCTCACAATCTAATATTAGATATTAATATCATATAATATTAAATCTTCTGAATTTGATAAATTTATTATGGTTAAGCAAAAATGTCTTTATTCTTAGGAGATATATGCTGAACTATTTGAGGGTGAAGTTTATGAAATCTACAATTTACTCTTAATTGGTTCAAAAATTGACAATAATAATAGTAAAAAGAAGAAGCAATATACACACATATACACACATAAAGAAAGAGATAGATAAGGTGACTATGGCTAATAAGGCACAAATATTAATAATTGGGGATTCTAAGTGAAGGGTGGTTGGGTGCTCATCTTGCAACTTATCTGTAGGCATGGCATTTTTCAAAAAATATAGATTAAAATATTTGTGTAAATATGGTTATTTAAACATTTTATTTTAAAAAGGAAGAAAAAGAAGGAAGGCACAACCACCTCAGCAGCATGCCCAGGGCATTAAAAAAAAAAAAGTCTGCCAAACAGACAATTGAAGTCATTAGTGTCCACCAAAATCTTTTTCAATCAAGGCATTACAAAAGTAATGAGCTCCTATACATTATAAAAGTCTCATTAAGACATCCAATAACTTAATACTTTTTATGTTTAAAAATTATTCATCTGGTGCCCAGCTACCATTACTGAACATTTTGATCAAAGTTTCCATAAAAGAATCTTGATCAAAAGGGGGAAATGTAGAACAAAATTTCAAATTTTCATGGACTTCAGATTTCCTGGAGCCATGGAAGTTAGATGAACCCTTGAAACTATTGCCCTGAGATTATCTTTAAACCTTAAGCCAAAAATATCCCCGCAGTCTTCTTAAAACCAACCAATAGTTTAACTTAACTAGTAAAAAAGGTCTGCCTTGAGCATTATGCTCTTTTAAGAACTGTCTATATGGGATCAAATTGACAACAGCAACCTGAAAGATTAGATAAGAACCTTAGGGGCAGTGAATTTATGTTAATGGGGGAAGAACAACTTAGAAAAAGAGGGTGAGAATTGTTGCACAACTAGAAGAATGTAATCAATGTCACTAAATGGTACATGTAGAAATTGTTGAATAGGTGCATGTTTTGCTGTGTGTATTCTCAACAACAGCAAAATTTAAAAAAGTTGTATTAAAAAAATTTATCAACATGTACATTTATTTATTTTGTTTTGAATTATTGAATACCAAGACTAGTAATTATTATAGTAATTATTTTGAAATTTATGTTGTCTTAAGAGAACACAGAGTTGGTCAAAATTTTAGTAAGTGGTTGAAAAGCACAAAAGGCTGAAGACCACTGGTTATAGATAATTTATTCAGCATGGTGGTTCTCAAACTCCACTCTCATAAAACACCATTGTTCCAACTTTGTATGCATTAGTTTTGGCCACAGAAACAGAACCCAGGTGGTATTTTCTCAATTCACAGAAAAAAATAATAAATCGAATTTTATTCGTCTCGTGTTTTTGACTCATATATCTTTCTTAATTCTTTGATATTTTCTAGTTCCTCCCTGTGTCCTCGAGCAATTTCCAGCAGTTGACAAAATCAATAAATGACAAGCAAGTCAACATTAGCAGAGTAATTCTTAGTTCAGCACTGAGTATGGACATGTGCTCGTAGTAGTAGTAGTAGTATGTGTTATTATAAAAGCATATTCTCTGCTAGAAAAACTTTCTAATTCTAATTTGGACTTAAATAAATCAACATTTCTTGATTGTTTCATGAAAAGAGCAAGTGCTGAACTATCTAATCACATTTGAGAGCTATTGATTAAATGTATAAAATTATAAGGAATTGTGCAAAGAGAATTGTGGTGTTAAAACCTACTGAATATGAAATTTCCATTTAAATAAAAAGCTTGGATAAATAGAATGAAAGAGAGAGAGATCTTTTGTGATTTAAGGCTGAACATTCTAACATGATGGAGTCCTGTTGGCGTAGGGGTTAAGGGCTTGGCTGCTAACCAAAAGGTTGACAGTTTGAATCCACCAGCTGCTCCTTGGAAACCCTGTGGGGCTGGTCTACTCTGTCCCTTAGGGTTGCTATGAGTCGGAATTGGCTCAATGGCAACAGGTAAGGAGTATACTAATGTGGTTCTGCATCCAAAATAGTCTTTGACCAAAAATAAATTTTAGAGTGAATGTGTACTATATCTGAAAGCTGCTATTTCTTTCCTCAGAGCCTCTATCGCCAGGCCATGGAAGAAGCCAAGAAAGAAGGCTATGACTTGAGAAGTGATGCCATTCCCATTGTGGCTGCAAAGGCCTCCCGGGAGATTGCCAGTGATGTAAGGGCTCTTCAAGTTCTAATATTTGTTACTATCAGGCCAGCCATCTGCATAGGAAATCATAATTACTAGCATATGGCAGAAGTCACTTTAATCATTAACATCTTAACTCCTTTCATAGCATAGGCAAAGAATTTGAGACTCTGAGACAGACAGTAAGTAGGCAACTTGCCCAAGATCACAGCATCATAGTATTAAATCCTGGGAAGGAATGCTGTACCCTTCACTCTTGTCTTTTGCTCTTTACTTAACAAGAGTGAATGCATTGATTAAAATCCGATGGACGCACGTTGGGTCCTGATAAAACCTCATGAGCTCTCTTCATGATAAGACTCAAGGCAAAAAGTCCAGGAAGGAAACAGGCCTGCTGGAGTTATCCTCCATCACTTGAAGAAGGACATAGACTAGCAAAAAAGCTGAAAGTCTCTTTGCTGTGGGGTCCAAAGAATTAATACTTCTTTACCCTAAAAAATGAAGACATCAGATTCCTGTACAACTTAAGTATTAATCTGAGAGTGACAAACTTGTCCATTTTAAAACTACCCTTCTTAGATGATTTGTGCAGAGATAATTATTTCTCAGAATACCCTAAAAAAAAAATTTGTATGAATCATTGAAACACATCTCTCAGGTGCGTTCTCAGATGGGTTCACCCACATGATAGACTTCTGAGACACTGTCGTGTTTTATCATTGTAACTGGGCTCACCCTTTCAGTGTTCACTTTGTATCACTTTTTGTCAACATATAATTCTGTAGCACAATATAAAAGAATCTTTGGGGAATTATTCTGTGGTAATGTGTAAATTAGCAAAATATCCTTTTCTTCGAGAGTAAGCATGCATCAGTGTGTATTACAGCAGTAAGTTTTATGAAACATACTTTTTGTCTTAAGAATTTTATAGAAAGCCTTCAACACAGAAAGAACAACAGGGAACATTCCATGGTGCTTCCTCCTTACTTACTGGGTTCTCTCTTCCAGTACAAATACAAAGAAGCTTATCGTAAGCAGCTGGGCCACCACATTGGCGCCCGAGCTATACATGATGATCCCAAGATAATGTGGTCCCTCCACGTTGCAAAAATGCAGAGTGACCGAGAGTATAAGAAAGACTTTGAGAAATACAAGACAAGGTACAGCAGCCCAGTGGACACGCTTGGTATAGTCTTGGCCAAGAACTGTCAGACCTTGGTCAGTGATGTGGACTACAAGCATCCTCTGCATGAATGGACCTGCCTGCCTGACCAAAATGATATCATTCATGCACGGAAAGCCTATGACCTCCAGAGTGATGTGAGTATCTGAAATATACCTGAGGATTCTGACTAGTGCCAATGAATATTTTTATTTGTATATTTTAAGTAATCTATATTTGAGTATTTGAAAAGAGTTTCCCAGTGGAAACCCTACAGTCTTTTACAATTTGCTTTTTCCCCTGGAAGTTATATGTAGAAGAAGGAAGAAAAATTAAATATTATCAGTAATATACAGGTACATGTCTTCCTGTAGTTCCTGGGTGGTAAAATTGTTAGTGTGTTCTGCTGCTAACCAAAAGGTTGGTGGTTCGAGTCCACCCAGAGGTGCCACAGAAGAAAGACCTGGCAATCTACTTCCAAAAAATCAGCCATTGGCAACCCTGTGGAGTACAATTCTATTCTGACACACATAGGGTTGCTATGAGTTGGAGTAAACCCTACAGCAACAGTTTTTTTTATATATCTTCCTAGAGCTTCTAGTATTCTTTGTCTGAGTTACAGGAAACTTAGTCTTCAAAAATATATTGCTACAATTTTTTGTTAAAGTGGTGGAAAATGGGGTGTGCCAACTGAGGGAAGTATAGAGAGAGTGGGAAGCGAAATTCTTGTTGTTGTTGTTGTTAGGTGTTGTCAAGTCAGTTTTCGACTCATAACAACCCCGTGTAACAGAGTAGGATTGCCCCATAGGGTTTTCTAGGCTGTGATCTTTATGGGAGTAGATCACCAGGTCATTCTCCTTCAGAGTGACTGGGTAAGTTTGATTATATTTAGCATGTCCTATTGAGAAATCAACCACTGAAAACCCTATGGAGCACTGTTCTACTCTGACCCACATGGAGTCGCCATGAGTCAGAGTCAACTTGACAATAACTGCCTCTCCTGTTAATGAGAATAAAATGAAATGAATAATATATACCTTTCAATGCCACATTTCTTTTATACACTTAATATTTTGTGATTTTGAAGATCACAGCAAGAGTTTTTGTGATGCACAAGGTATTGGTCTAAGGGTGTGGTCTTACTTGGAGCTATTACAGTCCATCTTCCAAGGTTAAGGAAGCTCTGCCTCTGTGTAAAACTTCTATAATACCCTCAAGAGCAGAGCCATGTCTTTTACTTAAAAACAAAAAAATCTTTCTTCGTTCTTAGAACAATCTTGTGTACCAAAAAATGCTCAAGGTTCAATAATGCTTGTGAATGAGTGATTGAATGAATAATTGACTTAATGCTGCAAACTTTATCTGTTCCTCACAACTATATTCTTCTAGTTGGATCCATTTTGTGATTATGCGTATGATCAACTGATGAATGAATGTGTTTCTTATCTGTTGATCTGCAGAATTTGTATAAGTCAGACCTTGAATGGATGAAAGGCATTGGCTGGGTTCCAATTGATTCCTGGGAAGTTGTTAAAGCCAAGAGGGCCACAGAGATACTGAGTGATAATATCTACCGTCAGCGTCCAGACCGACTCAAATTCACCAGTGTACCTGACACTGTAGAGCAAATGCTGGCAAAGAACAATGCTATAATCATGAATAAGGTGAGTCTTCAGTCCTCGCCATTAGATACAGGCATTTATCGGTGAAGAAAGTAAAATTTCTGACATATTATTACATTTTAAAGATTGTTATAAAATTTATAATACCTTTTAAAAAGATTTTTTCCATTGTAATACCACAGTTACTTAGTGATACTTCAAAACATTAAACTGATGGTAAAAATACTACCTGCTGTAATTATTTTATAATTCTTTCCTAGATAGATTTTAAATAATGCAACCAAACTATGCTTATCAAATCTGTTAAATAATTTTAATAGGAAAGAGTAAATGAAATAGTGAGCTAAATACTCTTGGAAGTAGTAATTTACCTGTATGACAGGTAGGAACTGATGCAGCTTTAATAATTTTATTTCTACTTTGTATCAAGGAGAGCTAACTGGCCTATAATCAGAATAAAAATATCTGTGAATTACAAAATAATTTTTTCTCATACTTTTTTTCTTAGCATTTATATACTGAAGCCTGGGACAATGACAAGAAAACAATCCACATCATGCCCGATACACCAGAAATCATGCTAGCCAAACTCAACCGAATAAACTACAGTGATGTGAGTAAACTGTTGATCTTGTAAAAAACAGAAAAACTACAGGCAAAAATGAACTACTGTCACTGTTTTCTTAGTGAAGTGTATTGACTCATTTATCATACATACTCCAGACTAACATTGTCAGTAAAGAAGATAGTTCTCCCATGATCCTATTTTGGTGTATGTGGTGGGTCCGAAAAAGTAGGTAAGCCTTTTATAAACAAGAGTTCAGGGAATGGAATGCTTAAGGAGAAATATTCCAATAAGCATTATACTCTCAATGTCTTCCTCCTACTGGTCAATGTGGGTATCAACATTATTTCATCCATTCAACAACTATTTACTGATCCAGGCACTGTGCTGGAACCCAGTGAGGCATCGGGCCATGTATTATTTCGATGCTTCGATATGCTGTGGTTAGCACTTAATGTTATTTATCTGCAAGCATTTTTTTAGGCACCTTTATCAGGACCAGCACTTTCCTAAGGATGATGATTCCCAAACCCCAGTCTACAGATTGGTAGCGGTCTCTCCCAATAGTCCACAAAGAAATCAGAAAAAATAAGGGCAAGGTATTGAGTTTTTCATAAAACCAAATATATCTCATTTTTAAAGACTGCCCTTTATTGTTTCTTCTTCTTTAGTATTAAGGTGACCTTTCTTTTATATTATAATAGTGACAGTAATAGCTGTTTTCTACATGTGCTTATTTGGCAAAATAACATGTTGGCAACCAATTGCTGACCTCCTCAAATTTTTTAAAATTTACCAGTCAGTCAAATCTCATGAGGACGTGTGCCTTAAATACCATGAGCACTAAGAAAGAAAGTTATCTACAGACTTACCCTAACACTTGACTATGTGATTTGTTTCTGTAGTTTACTAAAGGATGGAGAAAATTGAATAATAAACTCTTTCCTTTTTTGTGAAAGGAGTGAAGATTAATGACTCTCTTTTCTATAGAAACTCTATAAACTGGCTTTGGAGGAGTCTAAGAAGGAAGGCTGTGACTTGCGTTTGGACGCCATTCCAATCCAAGCAGCCAAGGCTTCAAGAGATATTGCTAGTGATGTAAGTAAATGGTTTTGTAAGAGGCATTTCTTATTCAAAAGTGTTGACAAATGGCGACTATTAGAATTTTTCTTGCCATAATTTTAGTTGTCCCTACTGGTTTCAATTTCCTTTAGTCGTTCCCAAGTACATACTAAGTTGCAAGTAAAAATAATGAATAGCAGAAAATACTATATTCACTATCCTTGTTAATCAGTCAAAGATAGAGGCATATCCTAAAACATAAATGTTTTTATGGACATTAAATGTGGGCTCATTTTTTTGAACCTCAGAAATTTGAGTTGTAGCTGACCCAGGTGTTTGTAAAATTAAAGAGATTGATACTATGTGTAAATCAGCTGATATGAATGTGAACTCTTTCCTGCTACTTCTATCCATTTATTCTGGGATAAAAGAAGACTGGATGACAGATTTTAGAGTTTTGTTTCATCCTCTGTAACTATCAGTGAAGTTCTACTACTAAGATATCCCTAACTGGCCACAAGAATAAACTGTAAAGTAAGCAAAGCTTCTTCCCAGTACCCACTTGCCTCTTCTCTCTGCTCCTTCCCGTCTCATGAGAAACATCTCCTGGGGGAGTGCAATGCCCTCATTCTGTACCTGGCCTTCTTAGGACCCAAATCAAGACTTTCCTTCTTCTGGAAGAATCCCAGGCCTTGGACTTAAGCTTCATTCTTTCTATTATCAAAACTTATTCCAGCTGTTAAGCTGCAGAAGCTCACACTATGACCAGCTCATAATAAAATAGACCAAAAATTCTTGAGTTTTTAAATTAGGTAAAATCTTAAGCCCAAGAGATGACTCTTTCATACTGAAAGTTCAAGGGCACTGACAGGCTAATAAAACAGTGGCCCTAAACTAAATGTTTGTTTATCTAAATGTAACACACATATAACTCCACCAGGGAATTCACTATATATTCTAATTACAAGGGATATATTCTAAAATATTCCTAGTATCAAAATATTTTTAGAAAAAAATGCCTTTAAATTAAATAGATGCTCTGTTAGATTGTATGTGATGTTTTACCTTTACTTAAGCAATCAAATGTAAACTAGGTAGTGTAGTTTAGCAGAAGGAGAAAAATACTAGGAACCAGCAGCTCTCCATTCAGTCTCAGCCTGGCTATCTACTTGTGATGTGACCTTGGCCAAATCACTTAACCCCTTAGGCTTCAGTTTCCTATTTTATAAAGTGGGGTTAATAAAATTATCTTTTCCCACAAGAATGGTGGAAAAATCAAAAGAAATAATGTATGTGTGAAACTATGAAATGCTATATAAATACGATGTTCTTATCATTAGACTCATATCTCCTTTCATTTTTTTCAGTACAAGTACAAGGAAGACTACCGCAAACAGCTTGGCCACCACATTGGGGCCCAGAAGGTTGAGGACGACCCCAAAATAATGTGGTCCATCCATGCGGCCAAGATCCAGAGTGACAGAGAGTACAAGAAGGACTTTGAGAAGTGGAGGACCAAGTTCAGCAGCCCAGTGGACATGCTGGGGTTGGTTCTGGCCAAGAAGTGTCAGATCCTTGTAAGCGACGTAGACTATAAGCATCCTCTACATGAATGGCTTTGCCTGCCGGATCAGAATGACATCATCCAGGCTCGGAAGGCCTATGACCTGCAGAGTGATGTGAGTGGGTTGAATATTTTTCAGCCATGAGTTTATTTGAAGTAGGGTTTCTAACCTTTTCGTGCCATGGGACTTTGGCAGTCTGGTAAAGCCTAAGGACCCCTTCTTAAGACAATGTTTTGAGACGTATAAAATAAAATATGACTTCAAAAGAAACTAATCATATTGAAATATGGTTATCAAAATATTAACAAAATAAATCTGTGATGTAGTAGTATACGTGGTTTTTTATTAACACTTTTGGAAGAATGACAAAAGTAGTGGCATTGTAAAAAAGTTTCTCAAAAAAGCCATAAAAACTGCATCAGCCTGAGACCAGAAGAACTAGAGGGTGCCTGGCTACCACCAATGACCACCCTGACAGGGAACACAGCAGACAGTCCCCGTTGGAGCAGCAGAAAAGTGGGGTGCGGAACTCAAATTCTAGTAAAAAGACCAGACTTAGTGGTCTGACTGAGACTGGAGGAACCCCGGAAAGCATGGCCCCCAGACTCTGTCAACCTAGCACTGAAGCTATTGCCAGGGCCAACTCTTCAGTCAAAGACTGGACTGAACTATGGCACATAAAGTGATACTCATGGGGAGGGTGCTTCTTAGCTTAAGTAGATACATGAGACTAAACCGGCAGCTCCTGTCCGGAGGTGAGCTGGGAGGGCAGAGAGCGTCAGGAGCTGGTTGAGTGGATGTGGGAAATTATGGGTGGAAAGGAGGAATGTGTTGTCACAGTATAGGGAGAGTAATTAGGGTCACATAACAATGTATGTATAAGTTTTTGTATGAGAGACCAACTTGAATTACAAACTTTCACTTAAAGTACAACAATAAAAAAAGCCATAAAAACAGAAAGAGAAAAGTCTTCCTTCAATAAATTATTTCAATTCAAAGAAGAAAAATGAAAGAGGAATAAATGTCTTTTTTTACTTGAATTCCAGTACTATAAAGGGGAATGAGGATAAGATAAATAGGAGCAATAAGATAAGTAGTCTATGAGTTAGAAGCATGTCAATAGAATCACATGGAAAAGAATACCTTTTTTTTTACATTTTCCCAAGAAAAAAACATTAATTCAGTTTGTGGTCAGCTAGTAGTGTTCATTCTTTCTTTATGTCACATGACTGGCTCTGAAAGCTACTGCCCAATGAAAGTAGGAACCAAATGAATTCAACCCGAGTGTTAGTCCCACACAATAAAGTGTGAACAATCAAATCAGAGAATAAACACTCTGTTTCAGGAGGCAGGCTGTAATTTCCCTAAGATGATTTGGGATTACTGAAATGGCATGTTATTAGAGGGATTTATAGATCTTTAAAACAGCAAATATTGGCTATCTTCAGGCATTTTACTAGCCATCTAAACCAAAATAAAGCAACCCTGTAGGTTCACCCATAAATTTACACAAATGAAATTCAAAATTAACTCACCTATATATGTTAAATCAAGATCAGGTACCAGGCTGTCTAGGTAATTTCTAAAAATGTTTGACATCATTTCATTTTCAGGCTATTTACAAGGCTGATCTTGAGTGGCTGAGAGGCATCGGATGGGTTCCCATTGGCTCTGTAGAGGTCGAGAAGGTGAAGAGAGCTGGAGACATACTGAGTGAGAGGAAGTACCGCCAGCCTGCAGACCAGCTCAAATTCACATGCATTACAGATACTCCAGAAATTGTCCTGGCAAAGAACAATAGCCTGACAATGAGCAAGGTGAGTCTCCAGCTGCTTTATGTTGCGCAAGTCACACCTTCTTGGACTTGGCTGACAGAGTGGGGTCCCCTTCAACAGAGCATCTGCTTGAGTTCTAGGTGGCCCCATATGCTCTTCTCAACCCCATTGACTCCTAACTCTCTGTGTGCACGCAGAAGGTATAGTCTGGGATGATCTTCCTGGGTTACCTTTCTGAGTAGTGACCTGTAGCCATCCACAAATGCATTACCTCTCCTGTACATTCTCCCAGGCAGAACAGGCTCAGGCCATTGGAGTCTCTTTATCCATCCAGTAAGGAATATACAGCCATTTAGCATTTCATTCTGTTGTCGAGGAAATACACAGTTTCACAGCAATGCCAGTGCCCAACTCATATCAGCTGCTTGGGTTGCTCTTCTGCCTTAGGGTGCTGAAATCCACTTTTGAAAGTGAGCTGCTATTGCTGCTTTTGGTTCTATCACACAGGATAAATGATCACTGCTTTCCTCCAGAGTTGTTCAATCTGTTTATTGATAGTGGGCTAATTCTTTATTTAATAAGTAGGCACTTACGATGCACATTTTAAAATTCAATTGGACTTAACTGAACTCTCTCCATACCTTCCAGGAAATCTTCCAAACATTCACGTAGTAGAATTGAGTGCTCAGTGCAGAATATAAAATTGGTCTCACATATCAAACTCCAGAGTTTGGGATATACAACTCCAGAAACGCTATGTTATGCCACACCCATCGACAACAACAACAATGATAGTAACAGTAGCAAACACATAGAATTTTTGAGTGCCTACTATGACTCAGGCATCTTATATACATTATGATTTGGTTAATCTTCCAAAAATGCCCCATAAGAAAGATATGAATACCCCCGTTGCAGAGATAAAGGATAGAAGTACCTTTCTCAAGATCACACAGCTTGGAAACAGTGGAGTTGGGTTTGAATTTGGGATTGATTCTGAAGTCTAGGGATTTCTACTATACCATAATTATATAACTGTGCTTCATCCTTGGAAGCCTTTTTTAAGCTGGAAATTCACTAGGTGAAAAGAACTAATCATTGAGACGATTGTATGGCTTCATATTAGCTATGACACTGCTGTACGGCTTTTTAAATGCTGCCTTGTTTTACTCTCACCACTATCCTTCTGCTTTTCTCACCTTCAAATAGCCTAGAACAGAGCTATTTTACAGTTAACTGTAAACCTTTACACTGAGTTAGATTTGATGATGACTGTAATATAGTTGGTTTTAACAAAGGGTTTTCCCCCTTCCGCAGCACTTATATACAGAAGCCTGGGATGCTGACAAAACCTCTATTCACGTGATGCCCGACACTCCTGAGATCAAGCTGGCCAAGAGCAATGCTGCCAATATCAGCCAAGTAAGAGATTTCCTCATTGTTGTTCAGGCCTTTCTAGGAGTAACTAAAATACCTTTTCTACCTTACTGATCCCCTTTTTGGAATTGGCTAATTTAGCTTTCTAAAATGCTTTTATTTTCTGTTATTATCCTCTGCCTAGAAACTTTACACTAAAGGATGGGATGAATCAAAGATGAAGGACTATGATCTGAGAGCTGATGCTATTTCCATCATAAGTGCCAAGGCCTCGAGGGATATAGCCAGTGATGTGAGTATCTTCCACATAACTTCTCTTGGTCCCCAACATGCTAAATAACCCTTACCATTGCTGGTGGGCCACACTTTGTAATTGCTTTCCTTCAGTCCTGCTTCCTACCTTCCAAGACCCTTTGCTTTGTTGTCACAGAGAATAAAAATCCATTATTGCAATTGTAGTCAGAGTTGCTGCAGGAGTGGGTTCCACCAATGAAGATATATGGTTGCACTACATTTATTTTTACGGTAGTATTAAATCCCAGTTTTAAACTGTTTCAAGATGCCAAAATGTTTGTGATATGAAATTCTTGTCCATGTGCTTGTGGGCTTTCATATTGTCTGTGATTGTCAGCATGTGTATGACCCTAAAACTGGTTTCTAAAACTGGATTTCTGGCGTTTTAGTACAAATACAAAGAAGCATATGAGAAACAGAGAGGCCACCACATTGGAGCCCAGAGCATTGAAGATGACCCCAGGATTGTGTGTGCCATACACGCAGGGAAGATTCAAAGTGAAAGGGAGTACAAGAAGGATTTCCAGAAGTGGAAGACAAAGTTCAGTAGCCCAGTGGACATGTTAGGCATCTCGCTGGCCAAAAAATGTCAGATTCTGGTCAGTGACATTGATTATCGCAATTACCTGCACCACTGGACATGCCTACCTGATCAAAATGACATTATCCAAGCAAGGAAGGCCTATGAACTGCAGAGTGATGTATGTAACATTTTCAGTATTTGAACTCTGGGAAGGGTGGAATGGGAGAGCATAGGTTTGTTAATTGTCCAGTCAGTGCCTCTGTGGACAGGTCCATAGGTTGCACACTACATAACTCCATAGGGCACCATTCATATTGTTTAATTTAAAACCCATATTTGGGAGTTATGGCATGGAAGGTAAAAAAGAGATGACAAGCCCTGCCCCGGGCATGTCTTTTATTCCAGATCTAGATTCCAGACTACTCTCTTCATGTTATTTGTAATTTCTGGAAAGAAAAATATGTTTCAGACAAACATAAACCATCTGATTTTTTAAAAATAACTGCGTCTATTGTACTAGAGCCAGAACACTAAATGGAATTTCCTTGGATTAATAATCACAGAATTAAAATGGAATGAGATTCAACAAAGTATTTCTTTTTTTAATCTTTCAGTTACATAGTATTTTAAAATATCAACTAATTATTATGGAATTCAATATTATTATCATTTTATTATTATTCATGAATAGTATGAATAATTATGATCTTACAAATGACTTCAGTCATGAAATTAAAAAGCCCAAATCATGTAAAATCTCAGGTCTTATTTTTTTGGAACCACTGCCTCAACCTTGTGTACTTTATTTATTCGATTCAGGGGTAGTATGTCTAACATTTGGAATGAATTTTGTGTCCCACCTCTTTTTAGAACGTATATAAAGCAGACCTGGAATGGCTGCGTGGCATCGGCTGGATGCCGGAAGGCTCAGTAGAAATGCACAGAGTGAAGGTTGCTCGGGACCTCCTGAATGAAAGACTCTATAGAACACGACCAGAAGCTTTGAAATTCACTTCCATTGTTGACACCCCAGAAGTTGTCCTGGCAAAAGCCAATTCTCTGCAAATGAGTGGGGTAAGAACTATCTTACTACCAAGCTTTCCTTTGGCTGGGCTCTGTTTTCAGATGATGTCACCCAAACCGAGCAAGTATGTAGACTTCCTCTTCAAGGAGCTATAGTGATAGCAGTAACTCTAAGAATCTCTTGACTAGCTTAGTGAAGGCACATGCAAAGTAGAAATCTAACAAATGCCAACATGCCTTTCCCCTACCACATGCACACTTTGAAGCACTAACATGAAAAATGTCACTTCCTTGTAATTCAGGGAAACAAATATTTATTTAATTCCTGTCTTTGGTTGCCGTCCTGTTGATTCCACTCATGGCAAACCATATGTATTAAGTACTAAAACATGTAACATAATGCTACATATTAAATAGTATAACATATATAAAAAACATTTTTCAAGATTAAATGGTTGCTAAGGCTTAATGTTTCAGGTATCCATTCTTGATCACTGTATTAAAATAAGATCTCCCTTCTCTCAACAGAAGCTGTATCAGGAAGCCTGGAATAAAGATAAGGCTAACATCAGCATCCCTTCTGACACGCCCACCATGCTGCAGGCCCACATCAATGCCTTGCACATCAGCAATGTAAGGAGCATAGATGTGAAGTGTAAATGCCTTTCTGGGACGATATCTGTCAGTTTATGGAGTATGTTATGATGGACAGATTACATACCTTGAAAATATTTGTGGCTTTTGGTGCTAGACATTTCTCTTCAGCTGCCATTCCCAGTACAATGTGGACAGAAATTTCTCTTTGTAACTTCAGCTGAGATACAAAGCAGGGTGCCTAGACTGCAGAAGGTGGGATACCTGAATGCTATTCGTGTCCTCCTTTTAACCTTTATGCTATGTCCTATATCTCAGTTTTGTTATATTTTAATTGGGAATAAAGAAATCACTAGTCAAGTGCCACTTACACTAAAAAGTGTAAGACGCAGCAGTCTCTATTATCTTTTAGGTCTTTTGATTGATCCAGGACCTTCTTGCTTGACATTTCAAGACCATAAGAATCACCAAAAGCCAAGTTTTAATTACATCCAAAGGGCAAAATATGTGTTATATCTACATCACATCCCTTTAGCGGAGATCTCTGAAAAGTCAAAGAGCAAAGTTAAGGAAAAAAACTTATCAGTGGTATCTTTATGGTATCTTGATGAAAAGTTCTCTAGCTTCACAGTTGATTCTTAGTTTCCATGTACTGCGTGGTGGGATATTTTCAGATGCATACCATATTGTGATAAATGCAAATATTCAAACATTGATAGATTTAGATGTTAGTTCTAAATTTTTAATCAGAAGTACTCTGAGCTCCACAAAGTAAGCAACCAACCAACCAAAAAAGAACTCAGAAATGGATTTTTTTTTATCACACTGCCTTCATTTACATTAAGGCTTATGGATTATGAATACTTTGACTGTATTCACTTATTTTTAATTCTTGTAAACAAATCTGTGTTCTCCCTCAATAGAAACTCTACCAGAAAGACTGGGATGATGTCAAGCAGAAAGGCTACGATATAAGAGCAGATGCTATTGAAATCACACATGCGAAAGCTTCAAGAGAAATTGCCAGTGAGGTACAGTTCCTTCTATTTTCTTTGTTTTTCTCCTCTATAAAACAAATAGGGCGAGCATTTTTCAACAAGTTCTTTTTTAATCTATGCAATTGAAGTTGGTCTTGTCCTGAAGACTTACTGTATTTAAATTTACTGAAATGGGTCAATAAACATTAGGGTAGCGTAGATGAGGTATATGTGTAAGTAACTTCTAAGTTATTTCTAAATAGAAATAAAGTATCGTGAAGCATCTATATGAAATGCTTGGAAACTACTCAGAAACCCGGAAAAAATGTCATTTTATCCCCAAAATATTTCTAACATTGCTCCATAAATGTAAGTCATAATGATAATTTCACGAGAGACTTAAAACTTAGATTACATTTTATATACAACATGATGTACTGGAAGCTTATGTATAATATCCTGAGTAACCATTTAAAGTTCATTTAACACTAATTTAAAAGCTTACTAACAATTTAAAAAGCTATTCTACCAAGCCCCCAGCTCCAAATCTTTTAGCCACCTTTGGTCTCTTTCTCTGGGTTCTTCTCTTTTTTTTTTTTTTAATCTCATGTAGCCAGCTGTTTCTTTCTTATTATTTCTCTGTTTTATCTCAAAAACCATAACTGGTCCACAAAAAAAAAAAAACAAAAGCAAAACCCGTTGCCATCAAGTTGATTCCAACTCATAGTGAGCCTGTAGGACAGAGTAGAACTGCCCCATAGGGTTTCCAAGGAGCGGCTGGTGAATTCGAACTGCCAACCTTTTGGTTAGCAGCCAGGCTCTTAACCACTGTGCCACCAGGGCTCCAACTGGTCCACAGTATCTGCCTTATTCCCATTTATCCCCAGTTTTTCTCTTGCTCTTTCAGTCTTTCGTATGTTTTCTTGTTGAGGTCACAATGGGCACCTTTTAAAAATATAGGAAAGAAACCATCTTTCTCTACTCCTAAGACACTCATCAGATGGAAAATATTGTCCACAGGCCTTTTGTTGTCATCTTGTGATTTAAACCAACAACCTTGCTTTCCATCCCTGAAACATGCATCTTTCTTGTCTGTCTCCAAAACCACACATATGACTTCTCCCTACCTGAGGTACATTTGGTGCTCTTGGGAGATTGTCTGACTTAATGTTTTACCACTTACCTGCCAGGCAACCTTAGGGTGAATGGTTGCCTTCACTGTGCCTTGTTTTCCCCAGCCAAAATACATGCTAATAATAGGACCTACCCCATAGAAACAAGGGTGGATTAACCAGTAAGCATGGTATGCACCAGCTTGCACCGAGCAAGGTACTTATGCACAGGCTTAATTGTATTTACTTGCTAATCTGTGGTGAGCAATTTTACATAGGTTTCACCACATCTTTGATGCAATGGGGGACAGGTGAAATTGTGCACTGCAGATTGGTGGGAAGACACAACGGGGCCCCTGCATGCCTTGCTCATTGAGTAACCCGGCCCTGTGCAGAAATGTTGTATTAAACGAGATTACAATTATCTTTATTCAACCACTTCTGACCCAGAAATCTCAGCAATTTCATATGGATCAACCTAATACATTTGAAGCATTCATAATAGCATCTGGTACATAGTGATTGCCAAATAAATGTTAGTTATTACTTTTTAAATATTTCTTGTTCACCGTACTATTTCCCTCCTGATTTGATTCATATCCTGAAATATAATGATTGCCAATGTTGAGCTAATTTCCAGTAAGGCTAGGAAAATGTTCTGAAAACATTTAAAGAGAAGTTCTCTTTATAAATTATTTTCATGTGTCTTTTTACCTGATTTTTCACAATTTTAGTACAAATACAAAGAAGGTTACCGTAAGCAACTGGGCCACCACGTGGGTTTCCGCACTCTACAAGATGACCCCAAGTTGGTATGGTCTATACATGCTGCCAAGATCCAGAGTGACAGAGAATACAAGAAAGCTTATGAGAAGTCTAAAGGAATTCACAATACACCATTGGACATGATGTCCATTGTTCAGGCCAAGAACTGCCAGGTCCTAGTTAGTGACATTGATTATCGCAATTACCTACACCAATGGACGTGTCTGCCAGATCAGAATGATGTGATCCAGGCGAAGAAAGCCTATGAACTGCAGAGCGATGTACGTATATTTTCACCAGAGTCAGGAATGGATGTATGTCTGTGTGTTTCACCATGATGTATTCCCTAGGGGTGTAACGTAAATGATGATGCTGTTGTTAGTCACCGTTGAGTCGATTCTGACTCATGGCAACCCCATGAGTGCAGAGTAAAACTGATTCATAGGGTTTTTGAGCCAGAGAACTTTCAGAAGCAGATCTCCTGGCCTGCCTTCCAAGATGCCTCTGGGTAGGTTCAAACCACCAGTCTTTCAGCTAGTAGTCGATCACTTAACCATGTGTACCACCCAGAGACTCCTAGTAATCTTAATACAACCTAACATATTCTGTACAATTCATGGTAGTAGATTGTTTTTTTCAAACAGCTTCTATCTTATAAATGATTCCTTCTTAGAGTAGCAAGTCCTGATTCATCAAGATAAAAATCAGTCTCTTATTCTATTGTAATTATGTACAGAAATTCAGTCCCAATTGTGCAAATCTATTACATTTGCATGATCAGATATCTAAATTTCAGAAATAGATATAAGCATAAGGAAATGTTGGATTTCCAAGTTTATCTGACACATGTAGGAAAAGATATATTTTTTCCTCATTATATATGCATCTGAAGGTCTTTTTCCCTTACATTATTATATTCCCAGTGGTACATATAAAGCAGAATTCAAGTGGTGAGCAAAGAAGCTCACCCTAACATAAAACCAAAATTGTGCTCTATTGCTGTCATTCCAAGTGCTGCTAGTAAGCCCTGCTGCAATTCCTGTAGGAGCCTGTGACCATCTCTCGGAGATGTGTGTCAGAGACGTAACTCCCAAATATTAACGTTTAATGTTGATCCTTGAGTTTCATGTGACTGGCCACCCAGCTGATTTAAATAGAGGTAGTGTGTGGCTCACTGGCCTCAAGCTCTTGTGGGCAAATTTAACTGTTCTCCTCTGTGTGTTCTTCTTCTTCACATAGAACCTGTACAAATCAGACCTGGAATGGCTGAAGGGTATTGGATGGTTGCCAGAGGGTTCTGTGGAAGTGATGAGAGTGAAGAATGCCCAGAATCTTGTGAATGAAAGGTTGTATCGTACAAGGCCCGAGGCCCTCAAATTCACCAGCATTACAGATACCCCTGAAGTAGTCCTGGCAAAGATCAATGCGATACAGATCAGTGAGGTGAGCTGGACAAATTGAAGAAGTCTCTATCAAGAAGAATTCTAATGTGAACTTTCAACCGCTAATACTAGCATTGCATCTGTGTGTATCCAGACAACCTTCATATAGTCAGTCAGTTAACAGTCTCCACATTTCATTTGCTTTGATAACTTTTTAGTCAATATAAATGCAGAGGACATTTTCATGTTCCACGGACTCTGATACATACTTTGCTCACATTTTGGAATCCTGACTATAATACTGGTCCACCAATTAATACCATAATCACAAAATTTCCACCTTTTATTGCTATTCAATCATGAAATAGGTTGAGAAGTCCAGGGGCAACCCCAGTATTGGACATTATGGCAATCATTTGGACCAAGAAAGCCAAGTCCTAATTAGCAGTATAAGTTATCATGCTACCTGTGATACCTGCAACATCGACTTAAACCTGCCAGATGATTAAATGTGGTTAATTGGAAAAGAATGTTTTTGCTACCATATTTCTGACTCATTTTAAATCTGTATTGTATCACACATCCACGTATCCTTGTTATCGAGGTCACAATTGACACCTTTTAAATAAAAAGACAAATGAAGACAAGACGTGATCTGTATTTATATCTGAAGACATCCAAAGAGAACTTTTAATTTTACCTAGAATTTTATTCTATGTGGTAATTGAATCATTTACTAATCAACCATCCTCCCCCCACCCCCCTTTTCTTCTTTTTTTCATTTTTTTACCAGCCATTGTACCGTGATGCTTGGGAAAAAGAGAAGGCTAATGTGAATGTGCCAGCTGACACCCCAGAGATGCTGCAGTCTAAGCTCAATGCATTACAGATCAGCAACGTAAGACACGACGCTTAGTTTGCTTTACAAAATGCCATCTGCCTAAATGTAACTTTATTGAGATATTCCAAAGAGAGTTTGGCAAAATGTGTTTCCCTACCATTCCTTTTATTTCTAATCTTCAAGCTAATGTTAAGTTGCTGTACATGTGTGTCTGTGTGTCTATAATATAAAGATTTGTGTCTCTTATCTTTATTGGAAGGAAAAATGCAGTAATTTCACCAAAAATGCAACACAAAAACTTATGGATGCATGTGTAGTAATATTTAATTCTCCTTTTGACTGGGCCATCTTTACTTTTTCCTTTTAAAAGCTAAATTATATATATATGTATTTTCTGATTTTCACATGATTTATTGTCTTTTAAATATCCATCTTAAAAAATTATTGGGATAGAGCTTTACTCACTATCATTAAAAATTTATGGAAACTCAGGTTTAACCTATTTTATGAATGGCAGGGGAGATTGATTTTCTGTGTTACTGTTACTGTCTATCCTTGAACACATCAGTAATGCTTACTCAGTAGCTCCCTCTTCAGATTGACAGTGGCATTGCAATCTCCATTTGCAGAAACGTTATCAGCAAGCTTGGGAAGACATCAAGATGACCGGCTATGACCTGCGGGTGGATGCTATTGGAATCAAGCATGCCAGGGCTTCCAGGGATATTGCCAGTGATGTAAGAGCTCCCCGCTGCCCAGCCCTTAACAAATACTAGCTAGTAGACACATCCAGAAAACCAAACTCAAACCCATTGCCATTTAGTGGATTCTGACTCATAGCGACCCTATAAGACAGAGTAGAACTACCCCACAGGGTTTCCAAGGAGTGACTGGTGTATTTGCACAACTGACCTTTTGGTTAGCCATAGTTCTTAACCACTGTGTGACCAGGGCTCCAGTAGACACATAGCGGTTGCTAATGTATTAATTTCTAATTTAATTCCCCAGGAACTGAATTTAAATAAAATGTAGGCCATTGTTATTAGTTATTGTTTTAAAATCCAAGAAAAAAGCCTCATAGGATAATTTGAGGACCCTCTTGCATCTGTGCTTGGTTCTGCTCTTCTTACGTTTAAGCATAGATTTTGATTTTGTTTCCAATATCTTCTCAATATCAGTTAATTTACAAATAGTTATGGAGATATAATGCGTACAAAGAATTCTGTTGTTCCCCAAAGTGTAGCACACATACTACTGGTGGTTCCTGTGATCGTTTTATGCAGTACATGAACAAAGTTTTTCAAAATAGTTATATGGTTTTTTTTAATGTGTGCTAGAAAAATACTAATGTTTTTCCATTTAGATAGTGTTAGTAATTTTTAAATAAAATTTTAAAATAAACTTACACTTTAAAAATAAATTTATTTAAGCAAAAAATCAAGTTGATTCAAAGTAAAGTATGAGGTAGAGGTGGTCATGTTTATAGTAAAAAGTGTGAGGGTGGCAGAACAATAGCTGAAGTTTGGGGAACACTGAACAAGTCTTTATGAGGAGGGTAATCCAAAAGCACAGTTCTTGCCTTAAAGGTTATCACAGTGTTTTTGTGTAAATAGACATAAAAGACAAGCCAATGTATTAAGAAGTATAAAACTTATAGTATGGATTTAAAGAAAAACAGTATTTAAAGAAAGGGTAATCAAAGGGAGATGGAATTATTCCGAGCAAGATCTCTAGAAAAATTGAGTTTGGGAAAAACTATTCTTCTTTCTTCTGTTCACATCTACCAGTACCTGTACAAAACTGCTTATGAAAAACAGAAAGGCCATTATATTGGATGTCGCAACGCCAAGGAAGATCCTAAGCTGGTTTGGGCAGCAAATGTGTTGAAAATGCAGAATGACAGGCTGTACAAAAAGGCCTACAATGACCACAAGGCCAAGATCTCCATCCCTGTGGACATGGTATCCATCGAAGCAGCCAAAGAAGGCCAGGCGTTAGCAAGCAATGTGGACTATCGCCAGTACTTCCACCACTGGTCTTGCTTTCCAGACCAGAATGATGTGATCCAAGCCAGGAAAGCCTATGACCTACAGAGTGACGTAAGTGTGAGGTTGTGTTGGGAGACCAAATGAGGGCCTTAGGTGGAGAGCTATTCCCCACGAAGAAAGCCTTCCATACTTTTGCCTGATGATGTCTTCCAATGCTTTGGAAAACCCAACTCTCCCTACATAAGCACTTCACTTTAGTGTTTTACCACATTTATTAGCTGCCTGTCTTCCTGCTGAGTTTATTCAGAAAGTTTTCATTTTCATGTTTAAAGATATTACTGGAATTTTTCTATAGATTTATTATAGTATATCGTGTTTGTAGTTTATTAAACATAAGAATTTCCATAGCCTTGCAACTATGTATTGAAGAACAGGGCTGTCTTCCTCGAATCTAATTTCAAAGGCATGCTCCAAAACTCACTAGTTTCCTTTAGTAAGTCTTTACAACATGGTGTTTTATTAATTTCTCTAAGGCTCTTTTAGATTAACTCACATTTTCTTCCCATTCTATCTTTTGAAAATGATGGATTCCATAAGATTATTTATTTCTTGTGTAGAATGGATATCATCCTTTCTTTATCTGAACTTGGTTTTCTTAAGCTTCAAGGATGCTTTCTTGAGATGAATGAGTTTTTTATAGGAAAGGATGCCCATCACTTGAAATGAATTGCCAAGTGGTGTATTTAGGTCAACTTCTAGAGAAATGCAGTCCTTCATTAACCTGAACCACATTTGTATATTAAGGTATGCACATCAATCAAGTTCTTAAAGAATGAGGAAGGGGATCTTCAGAATCTAGATGTAATCTTCTTTGAGAATCCCTTCTTCTGAATTTGGGTATCCATCATACTTTAAACACTAAAACATGATGTCATTCTTTAAAAAGCAGAGGTTTTCCAACATTTTCACTCCTCTTACTACCATTCTAGCCTCATATCATTTTGCATCATGTCTACTAGCTTTTAAAATTCCATTTCTGAGCAAAACGATGGCTTTTTATAAAATTGTTGTTGTTGGGTGCCATTGAGTCGAATTTGACTCATAGTGACCCCATAAGACAGAGTAGAACTGCCCCATGGGGTTTTCTAGGCTGTAATCTTTAGTGGAGCAGATCATCAGATCTTTCTTCCTCAGAGCTGCTGGGTGAGTTTGAACTGCAAACCTTTCAGTTAGCAGCTGAGCACTTAACTGCCAGGGCTTTTTTTTTTTTTTTTTTTAAATAAAATTAGTAACTGGTATTTAACATAAAACAATTTTATATGCTTAACCACTTATCTATATCTGAGGAAGCGGTTTAGATAATCAATAAAATGCAAATTTGATTCAAAGGTAAATGCTGCCTTGGGAAAAGAAAACTCAGTTGAGGTCAAAATTGTAGAATGAGCGATTGAATTCTTAATTATCCTTTTAAAATATCCTTTAAAGATACTTATTAAACAAACCATGTGTCAGGCATTGTGCTAAGCACTAAAGATACAATATGAAAAAAAGAAGAAAAGACTCCCTAAGCTCTAGACCTTAGGGAGTTCATATTAATAGCAAAGAAACAGATGTTATCCACACTCCCACAGGGACCAAATTGCTGGGCGGAGGGCTGTGGGGACCATGGTCTTGGGGAACATCTAGCTCAACTGGCATAACACAGTTTATAAAGACAGTGTTCTACATTCTACCTTGGTGAGTAGTGTCTGGGGTATTAAAAAGCCTGTGAGAAGCCATCTAAGATATTGCACTGGTCTCACCC